TGGCCATTATAGTGCAAAGTTTTCTTGTCTAATAAGGAGCATGTCTGAGAGACAGAAGTTATGGAACTAAAGTTTTTTTTTAGCAAGCTTTAATACAACAATACAAGTAATGGCATGCATGCGAATGCATTAAGATTCTTCTTCACGCTAAATGTTTTTAATCATAAAATAAGGCACTGTAATCTAATTTGTCTAGCCAGTTGTCAACAGCTAAGAAAAACTAAGTTGTAATTAGATACTGTATTAAAATTACTGTTGGCAACCTAGAATAACCTATATAAAGTTGAGCTTTAGTTTTAGAATGTTAAACCAGGCAGTGTCATGGTTGTATTTACTTAATATGGTTACATTTGATCCATGGACTGTCACTAACATGACAATATGTCACAGGGTGATGGTTTTGGGTACACAAAGAAAGAAACTCCCAGAAGCACAGATTCTGTTGGCCAAATTCTCAACCATCTCACCAATGCAGTTCCTTACGTTACAAACAAATGTCATTCATACATTCTGATACATTTTAAATTATTACACATAGAAATCATAATATTGAGGTTTTTCAAACAATTTTATTGATGTTATAATATTATGCATTTGTAAATGTAGTTCTTGTGTTGTAATTAATCTAATTGCACTTGGCTTGGGTCAAGCTCTTCGAAAAATGTTATAGTCACGTGTTGTATAAACAACATAAAGCATTTTCTGTCATAGTAACATCTAGAATTTGTATAAATAGGTCTGCATGTGTGCCTGTATTAGCTTACTTGCAAGCTAAATATAGAGTTTTGTGATTGGCATATGCTTGGCTCTTCAGTGCATATTATAATGGTATCAACAGGTATGAACATTTTTTACCATATGGCATTATAATTTAGACTATAAAGGGATGGATGGTCCAGTGCTTCCCAACCTAGTCCTCAGGGTTCCCCAGACAGCCCACATTTTTCCTTCATCTCTATGTGTTGCTGGTTGGGATGGAGCAAAAAGACCAGGTTGGGAAGCACTATAGATCAATTTTTTCATTGGCTTCCCATCAATCTCCTTAATCGCTTTCATGTTATGTTACACACACACACTCAAAAATAATTTGGCATAATTAATTATGGCTCTGTTTAAATATACGTGTGTTATAAGTTGAAGACTGTATCTGTATGTGTACATGTGTGTACATGTATGGCACTAGGCTCAGAAATACTGAATGAAATTGTTTTGGTGCTGTAATGCATCAAAAATTTTTCTTCCCATTTTGGCTAACTTAATAGCTTTTAGTGAGAAAAAACAATAGGAAGTGTAACTCATCTTTCTTTAGACACACACACACACACACACACACACACACACACACACACACACACACAGCCTGACACAGAGCAAATGGATATTTCTCACATTACACATTCTTTCTAATTCCTCCCTCCCTCCCTTCCTCTCTCTCTCTCTCTCTCTCTCTCTCTCTCTCTCTCTCACACACACACATGCTACAAAAACACACTCAGGCTGTCTCACACATGAGCTCACAACCACTCCTGTGAGAGGCTGTGCAACATAAGGTTCCATATAAGGGCAGAAGGATGATGTAATGCTCCATAGGCAATGAGCATGCAGTGAGGCCATCTCTCACTGTTTGGTTTCCAAGCTGGAATGCTCACATCACAGACGTGAGTACTGCATCTCAACACCAACTTCACACAATGATTACTGCGGTCTCCTATGCCTCAGGTAGGAATACATTCACCAACATATGCTCACAAATAGTGTAGAAAAAAATCAATTATTCATGAGATAAAAGCATTAGCACTTTGCTAGCACATCTTTGGAGGAAGTTTTAGTATTACAAGCTACTTTTTAAAAGTTCATTAAACTGTGTTTACTGATTAAAACAGAATAAAACTGATTATCATTACGTTCAATAAATGGATGCATGTTAAAATGTTAATTAGACCTTGTACAGATTATTTACTACTTTAGGCTTGAATTCAGCCTTTCATCATAGTCTCTGTAGTGTGGATTTATCTGACTCATTATTTCTTGGGCTGAGTTAAGCAACAGCAAAGATGTCTCGGTTTACTTTTTCTTTTTTTACATAGAGGTAAACTTCTTTGGTTGAGTAAAAGTATTTCAGTAGTACAAAATAAAACAAAAGTAATGTACAAACCTTCAAATAAAGTAGTAAGTACCTGTGACAATTATAAGAAGATCATTGTAGGGAACAGCACAGACCTTTACTTAGAAGATGAAAATCCGAGTTCAAGGTCAAATACTAGCTTGAGATCAAGATTGCTTTTTTGTGCAACATATTTTTGACTTTAGAAGATAGGCCTAATCTTTTTAGTACAGGCTAAAACAAACAATTGGAGGTTAAACAGAAGTCCTTTATTAGGGCTTCAAAGTTGTTTATTAAAGTGAATAAAAAAGCTCCTCTGTAATAAAAGCCTGATGATTTCCTGCACTGGCCATGTACTTGCAGAGCATTCTTCCTCTCCTCACACTAATGAGTTCAGGCCCATAGGTTAAACAGGAGCCTTTATTTAAGGGGTGAAGGAGGGAGGAGTGGTAGTTTTATCTTCTCCAGACCCATGCCCTCCTAAACTATACTATACTTAGGTCACAGAGTTCCATAATTTCTTACTCTCAGCAGCATACATCTTCTGTCCTATGCTTGCCTTTTCTGAGACTGTCATTGTCCATTGGTTCGAAGGATGAGGAGGGTGTCTGCAATGGACATTTATTTGATTTATTTCTCCAAATACATTCTACAGTCTACAGCATATCAATTTTTTACATTTTTAAAACTGTGTGTGTACTATTAAGGGTAAAGTCATCATTGTAATAGGTGGCAAAAGATTTACCATACCATTTATTTCTTCAACAGAAATACAAATGACACTATGGCTATATTGTGGCAGCAGTAGCCATTATTATATTGGGCCAGCAGTGGACAAGAACAAAGTACATGTAGTTCATTACTATGTGTAGGTACTTTTTTCAAGCACCTCTAGCTTACTGACATATTTCCATTTTTTGTTACGTTTATTTTCACACCGCTACATTTACTGCACAAAGTACTGCACCCAGTGTTTATTTGTCATTACTCTGAAGTGAAAGAAAACTGGATTTTCTGAAATATGCAAAAGAATATGATTTTAAACTGCAGCAGACAACTATAGTGCTCTGTTTACTAAATCGTTTTATTAATAATCATTATCCAAATGCTTGGAGACTGTACCGAGGCCTGGTCACCTTTTAGAACTTAAATATATGCCATAACGTTGTGTGGGATTTTTAAATCTGACAATTGATATCCTAAGTTTGGAGGGGGAAGTGAAATTTTAAGCGTTTCCTGAACTGATGACAAAAGAAGAGAGATGTAGGATGTGGATTAAACAGTGTGGAATTCTACATTACCAATTAGACCTGTCAAAAGTTAGCTAACTGCAGCATTGTCCTGAATATCTAAAACACACATGCACATATTCATACGTTTATCTTACCTTCAGTGCTAAAAAAGTACTTCTCTTTTATTACTGTCACATGTATGTGAATAATTTGTTTAACTGAAGTAGAAATAAAATAGAAGACTTCTACATTTAATAAATTAATAATTTACAAAGGATGTGTCTACTTTCACTCAAGTGCACTTGAGTCTCTCAATCCCTGAATGTGTATGTAGTGGATGTAAATTTGTACAGATGTTTTCTAAAAGCAAAACTGTCATGTACACCGATCAGGTATAAAAACTCCAGCAGCACTGCTGTGTCTGATCCACTTATACCAGCACAACACACACTAACACACCACCACCAGTGTTACTGCAGTGCTGAGAATGATCCACCACCCAAATAGTACCTACTCTGTGAGGGTCCTTGGGGGTCCTAACCACTGAAGAACAGAGTAAAAGGGGGCTAACAAAGTATGCAGAGAAACAGATGGACTACAGTCTGTAATTGTAGAACTACAAAGTGCACCTATATAGTAAGTGGAGCTGATAAAATGGACAATGAGCGTAGAAACAAGGAGGTGGTCATAATGTTATGCCTGATTGGTGTATTACTGAAAAATAAAATGTGATTTCAGCACAGGGGTAACCTTGGTAATCATAGATAACGAAAGCAGTAAACAAAATTAAAGGATTTTGTTCTTTTTATGTAATAAAAAAAAGGAATATAAACAAGATTATACTCTTGCTCAAACACAGTGTTGATTTTCCTAATTTGCCTCTCACAATGTTTCATGGAGTCACACTACCGCTACTACTGCTTGTAGAGTAAATAGCATAAATGTAACCTTCAGCCATTCAGTCTGTTATGATGTGAGAAATTCTTTTTAAAGCAAGGTTGTTCTATTACCTGCCTCAGAACGTGTGCAATGACACAAGTATACACAATACACAAATAAGAGGATTTGAATGAAGTCAGCTCATATTCCTTGACGTACTTTGGTGTACTTCTGACAGCATGTTCACCTATGGAATTTATGAGAGATTCTGAAACACTCTGTTTATTTTTGCCAGTCTGTAATTGCTGGAAGAAATTGTAGTTTTATATTTAAAAGAATTTTTCTTTTAAATATAAAACTAGTGAAAGGAAGTGATGTTAGTAGTTGGTGGGCTTATAGAAGGGGTGGAGGAACACCTAAGTAGGAGATTTTTTTATGATAATGTGCTGTCTGTAAAGTACTGGCAGCTGTGTGTGCTGCAGTCAAAACATCCCCTCCACCACTGGCGGCGCTCAGACCGATGAAACATGCCAGCCACCATGATGACCCCACTTTCCCCTTTGGCTCTGTAACTGAGGAACACCCACCGCTTCATTTTCCAACAATGTGACCAGCAAAGGCAGGAATGTGCCCACAAGTATGAGAAAGAAGAGCCTACTGCTAAAACAAATGCCCATTTCATGGGCCTTCACACTCGTTTATGACCATTTTACACAGGATTTATAATTTCGGTTAATGAGATACATGTAACCCAACAAATCTTTTTTGTCTTTTTTTCTTATTAGACTGAAGCTGCTCATTGATCAAGAAAAGGCCTATCAGGAGCGAAGAGAGGAAGAGAATAATAGGAAGGTCACCAATCTTAAGGACGAGCTGACTAAGCTGAAGTCTTTTGCTCTGCTAGTTGTTGATGAGCAGCAGCGCCTGACAGAACAGTTGGCACAGCAGACAGCCAAGGTTCAGGAGCTACAGACTTCTGCCACAAAAGGTCAAGAGGAGCTAAACTCTGCTAATATTCGGGCACAAGAGGAGGAAGGCAAAGTCCTGCGCTTAGAGGCTGAATTGCGTGACCAAGCCAGTCGGTTCCACCAGGAACAGGAAGCCATGACTGCCAAACTGACTAATGAGGACAGCCAGAACCGACAGCTGCGTCAAAAACTATCTACACTTAGTCGTCAGCTGGATGAACTTGAAGAGACAAACAAGACCCTCCGAAGGGCAGAAGAAGAGCTGCAGGAGCTGAGGGATAAAATTAGCCGTGGGGAGTGTGGAAACTCCAGCCTAGTGTCAGAAGTGGAAGAATTGAGGAAAAGAGTACTAGAAATGGAAGGAAAAGATGAGGAGTTGATCAAGATGGAGGATTTGTGCAGGGACCTCAATAGGAAGCTAGAGAAGGAGTCCAACCAAGGTCATAGCCTGAAAGCAGAAGTGGACAAGCTGAACCACAGAATTATGGAGCTTGAAAAATTAGAAGATGCTTTTGGGAAGAGCAAGCAGGACTGCAGCTCTCTCAAATACAAGCTAGAGAAGGAGCGTACAATAACTAAACATATGTGCAATGAACTAGATGTTCTAAGAGTTCGGATCAAAGAGCTAGAAGCTACTGAGAGTCAAATGGAGAAGACTGAGTTGGTGCTGAAAGAAGATCTTACAAAGCTGAAAACACTGACAGTAATGCTTGTGGATGAGAGGAAAACCTTGGCAGAGAAACTGAAACAAATGGAAGACAAGGTGCAAAGCAGCACAGGCCAACTCCAGGCAGAACAAGATAAAGTCACATCAGTGACTGAAAAGCTGATTGAAGAGAGTAAGAAGGCCTTACGGTCCAAAGCAGAGCTAGAGGAAAAGATGTGCATTGCCACCAAGGAAAGGGATGAGCTCAGGACCAAGCTGAAAACTGAAGAGGAGAAAAACAGTGACCTTCAATCCAAAGTCAATATGATGAAGAAGAGACTTCAGTCCTTGGAGACTGTTGAAAGGGAGTTTTTGAGGAACAAAGCTAAAGACGAAAAGATAAAAATCACAAACCGCTTCCACCAGGAAGACAACAAATTGAAAGATTTGACACAGGAGGTGGAACGTCTCAGAAGGAAGCTGAAGGAGATGAAAATGGTTGAAGATGATCTACTGAAGACAGGGGATGAGTTTGAATCCTTGGAAAAAAGGTATTCCAATGAACATGAACGAGCAAAATTACTGATGGAAGAACTGGAGATTTCAAGGAAGGAACTTTCCAAATACCGACTAGCTGAGAAAGAAGAATCCAACCAAGAACAAATTCTTTACAAGCGTCTGAAAGAGGAAGAAGCCAAATCAAGTCATCTGACCAGAGAAGTAGAAGCACTGAAGGAAAAGATACACGAGTACATGGGCACAGAAGAGTCCATATGCCGTATGAAAACAGACCATGTGACTTTGCAAAGGAAACTTACCCAGCAGGAAGTCAAAAACAAAGAACTGGCAAGAGAGATGGACACTTTAACAAGAGAGCTGGAGAGATACCGTCGCTTCAGTAAAAGCCTCCGGCCTGGCATGAATGGGAGACGCTTCTCAGATCTACAAGTCTCTACAAAGGAGGTTCAGACAGACCCAACAGACAACCTTCCTTCTAATTACAAGAGCCTTGATCCATTGGAACGAGCCGTGGTGAATGGGAAGTTGTATGAGGAGAGTGATCTGGAAGAAGAACCCAATTATAATGAGATTAATTTTACTAAATGTAACCCCTCACTTATAAACAGTGTAAACAACCTGCAGAACAGTATGAGGCGAGTGAGAGGTCCCTTTTTAAAGAGCAATCAGCAGCCAATTAATGGCAAAGTGCAACAAAACCAGAACGGAACTCATGTTCAGCAAGGGGATGTGGTCCTTGCTCACAGTTCAGGCCAACCTCTTCACATCAAGGTAACACCAGACCATGGCCATAACACAGCTACTCTAGCAATCACAAGCCCTACTACAGAGAACATCCAGTCCTACACCAGTACAGCAGTTATCCCAACCAGTGGAGGCCCACCAAAACAAAGAATCACCATCATCCAGAATGCTTCAGTCTCTCCACACAACAAAACCAAGGGCTGTTCTTCTACAGAAGGCCCCTGCACACCTGACAGATCAGTGTCACCTCTTACTGTGACAGCTTATTCCCAAACAATAACCCCTGACTTCTCTGGTTCAGTGATACAAGACAGAGCCATGTCTCCTATTCAGATAGTCTCTGTCAGAACAGGAACCCCTGACAGGCCACCAACTGGAGAGCTCGTAGAGGTCTCAGCTGATCACACTGTTGTCCGTGTAACACCAGAGAGACAAAATGGCTGGCAACTACAGAGGTCCAATAGCTCAGGCCCGAATGTCATCACCACTGAAGACAACAAAATCCACATTCATTTAGGCAACTCCTACATACAAGCTATAAATAGTGTTTCTCCACCCATCAGCCCTTGCTATTCCTCTGGGCAGGAGCAAAGAACTCCAGTATTATCCAATGGTACTCCAGTTAAGGGCAACAACAAAATCACTAGTAGCATCCTGATAAAGCCCACTTCCTCCCCAGTCCCACGATCCTCACAAATTACAGTAAGTAATGTCTACGACTGACCCAGAATGACTTGTGAGCTGGTCTACTATTTACGAAGTGGCTGTTATAGCTCTCCAGCAGTAAATTCTTCACACTAGGACCCATAATAAAAATTTTGATCTTTGTTTTGCATTGTTTTGGCATGTTTTGTCTCGTAGTGGTTAACAAAAGCTGTTGTAGTGATAAGTTTGTTTCTGTTTGATTGATTTCGGGATTTCAGCAGTATTTGCATGATCACTGATTGAAAAGAGGAGAAAGACTAATAAGATAACAAATATATCTAATTTGAGCATTAGTGCTGAATTTAATTTAGTTTTGGTTTAACTTTTAAAGTGTGCACTTACTGTATCTACTCAATGGCAAATGACCTTGTAACATGACCGTTCATGACACGACTGATGTACCATTACCATTGTTTTATTTGTCATTTACCCCATTTTTTTATAATTATTAAAATAAATCAACATTAACAAAACAATAGGTTGCTTAATAAGTTTCTCATTTATGCTATTTGTGATACATTGTATTCTGGTCATTCTAGTGCAATAAGCATGCATGTGTGGTTTAGCCATAAAATTTGAACTGCTTAACATTTATGTTTGGACATTGCATGCTTTAGATCATTTAAATACTGACACTTTCCTAGTTGAAAATGTTCAACTGCATAAATCCATGCTTTCAGCTTTGCATCCAAACTATTGATCACCTAACTAAATACAGATTACAAATCAAAAGTCAAAATCAGTTCCATCATGAAGTCGTTTCTGTGAAGTCAAATCCTAGAATTGGAGAAATCAAGAAGGAGAAACTTAAACAGCTTGTTTTATAAGCAGATTTTTGAGAAGAGCTCTTTGTAAATGTTCAGAGTTTAAAAAACTACAGAAAATGCTGAACATTCTGACATGTGTTTGCCTGGCTAACTTAAAATCATAGGGTGATGTCATAGTTTCTGCCTCTACCCAAAACACTGTAATCTCCTAACAGCAAGAAAGTCTGTGCATGGCTGAATTGGCAATCTTCTTCAATGACACAGTGGAAACAGCTCAGGGCTACATTTCTAACCAGCTACATTTCCAATGTTTTTATCAAGAGCTTACTGTCTTTGCACACCTTCTGACACAAATCGGAAACCAGGTAGCTCTTTACTGAACACCAGAAACTACACCAGAAGCACTTTATGATTCTGACCCTTTGTAAAGACTAAATGTTGTAAATAATGAAAAGTTCCAACTTATTTTCATTTCATAAAGAGTCATGTAATACTGCTACCACCACAACCAAATATATACACTATTTTCCCCTACCTCTTGTATTACGCAGATAAGCGGACAAATTTTAATACGTCAATCTTCAGTTCTTTATTCATAATTCTTATAACTCTCATTGTTATTGTAATTTTGCCTGTCCATGTCAACCAGTAGGGAGAGGAATTCCCTTTTTCATGCTTTAAGAGTTTTTCCCTACCACTGTTGCCCTTGACTGCTAATTAGGTGCTCAGACCCAGATTTCTGTAAAGGTTTTTTGTGACAACATCCATTGTAAAAAGCACAATACATATACATTTTTGAACATTGAGTTTGAACTTCAATATACAGTCCATTAGTATGCCAGCCGATTCATGAAAATGTGAAATTAGGCCAGCAGCTGGTGGTACTATCTTGTACGCTGGGCTAGAAAAGGCCAATACAAATACTAACTTAGGCACATACATCCTTAGAGTAGAGAGAACAAAGACTGCGACTCGTTAATGTACAAGCCTGACTATAGCAAGTGTTAAATTGATTCAGGCTGGAATTTGTACAGTCTGGAATCTGTATCCTCTGGACTGCACACTCAGGGGAATAATATGGCCTGGATAAAAATGCTATCATTCATTGAGGAGATGAGAACAGCTGTGATGATCTATGAAAATCAAGGCACTTTCGTGCCTGTGGCCTGATGTCTCATTACCATGTCATGACTAATTATTCAGATGTTCAGTTCACTTGGTTACAAGAGACCCAAATAAATGTCCAAAGAATTGGAAATCCAATTCATAATATGAAACTACATGTATTCTATGTATTCTAGGTGTATCACAGAGCCACATTCACTGTAGATGTCGATGCATCATGACTAGGGTCTCCACAACTCCATAACACTACTGAATATCCATTTATGTAAAATGAACAAATGTAAGTAGTGCTACTGATGTGATGCCTGAATTGTGAACTTTGTTCAAAACTAACAAAATCAAAATGGACTATAGGAGTATCTATTAGTCTGCCAGTACATGCTGCACTAAACACGTCACAGAAACACAAAATGGCTTCATCGGCTGCTTTGTGTTTAAAATGACTCCCGAGGCCTGTGTGCTCTAAAGTAGTGCTCCAAAGCCCAAACACACCCCATGTTTTGTTTCCATGGTGACAGTAGCTGAAGTGCTGCCAGTCAGTGGGTTGTTCCTGCCACAGGACAGCTTTACAACATGAAATGGACACTTTTAATTAATGGTCATTATGTGCAAAGTCTACAAACCCCTTAGAGTCTGCCCATGTTGATTTTCTGATCTGTTTTACCCTTGCCAGAAGGACAGGCCAACCTAGATTTAAAAAAAAAAAATACTGGTATTTATCACTGCTCAATTCTAGATGGTTATTTTTTGAAAACAGTAATGAATGCTTACAGTTTGGACATAAACGTGTTTTGTAGACTTTCAGAGCACAGACGAATTCCAAGAGAAATTGGTTAGTTTTGTATTTCATTAACACTTCGAATCATATTTAGATTTGTACTGCATTCAGGTACACTTGGCAGAATATCCAGAACTCCATTTTTGAATAATATCTATATATTATGATGTTTTTACTTGCTGTGGATATACTTCTGCTAGTTGTTTCTGATCTTTGCATGATACTGAATGTAGAATGATGACATACTCCCTAAATGCCTGTATGGTGACATCATTCCCTGGCTGGGATTAGATGACAGTCTGAGCTGATTGTGCAGTAAACAGAACCATGAGGCAAACCTCAGGAGAGTCATTCCCCACCACTTCTCACAACTGCTGAAATGATTCGACACCCGTCTGTCTTCTCCATGTCTGTAGTCTCTTCTTTTAAACAATCTTATCTAGTGTTCTAAGGCCTAGTCAATGCCTAGGGCTAAACATATCAGCTTGATGAGGTATAGGTGGTCAGTCTACTTGTTTTCTAGACCATTCTGCTTACACTGAGTTCCTGTTCACTTTGTTGGCTTTGTAGCAGTGAGAAACAGCAAATATTTTTTCAGTGATGCAGAGACACTTCCTTTATTGAGCTGCCTATGTATATCACAGCTACTTGTTGTTGCCATTATTATTATTATTATCATTATCATTATCATCATCATCTTCCCCCAGCTGATGGCTGCTAGTACGCTCTTTTCTCACTGGAATTTCTAGATGACTTTCTTCAAGTAATCGTAGCAATTGTACCATGATGATCAACTGTAAAGAAAATAAAGGTAAAGCTACATCAAAACACAACTAAATGTATGAAAATAAATCTCTATGGTAAGTAAATACAAATGCATGTAAAAATAAAAAAACTAGTAAATAATCCAATTATACTAGTACTCTAAAAATTCCACTGTTGCATATGAATTAAACTGTTAAATGGCAAGAGCACCATCTTGTGGACTTAACTTGTATCACATATGATTTTTGAGCCATACCAGTCAACTTGTTTGCAAAGACCTTTACCTATTAAAAGATTTCACTTCCTATAGTACATACATGGCAACACAGAGAAATATTACCTTACTCTGTACTTACAGCTAAACCTCTACTACATCATAAAGTTGGGAAAGGTGGTTAAAAGTTTTATGGATCATACTTGATACCCTGTATTTGCTCCTCTTTTCTTACAGATACCTCTAGAAGAATTCCGACAATCTGGCCCCACCAGGATACCAAAACCTAAAGCCTGCAACACACAAAAAGGGACAAATGGCACAGCCATGCCAGAAAAAAACAAAGGAGCAGCACAGTCCCCACTCAACTCCGAGAACAGCATGTCCAACAACCATCACATGATGAACCTCCCTACAAAGTCATGAGTGCGCAGATTCAAATCTATCTCCTTTAGGGGGAGAAAGTGAAAAGAACTTTTGAATCTTTTTGAATCAACTGAATCAAGTTGTCTTTGTTTTTGTTGCTAATAGTGATAAAGCGTGCATGGGATATCCCATTCACTTGTGAACTTAGTATTTCTTTTTATGTTTTTGGCGAGAATCCACTGAGATGGGTCTTGAAGGTGCTTCCCGCACCAAGATAACAATGAATGTTTGTCTCTGTGGCACAATGTCTACATTCAGTCATTAATATAATCAGTGCAATCATGCATAACCAATAATAAAATCCCTAACATTCACATGTAAAGAAAATTTTAAAAATCACATAGCCTAGTAGGCTAGTCAAATAGCCTATGTAATAGTAGAAGTAGGCACTTAATTACATATTTGACAGGCTTAATAGTACAACTGACACAGTTAGATGCATTGCTTTTTTGATAAAGGATGTATTAAAATCAAAAGTATTACATAATGTTTGATTTATCTTGACAAACTGTTTTATTTAGTTGTTAATAAAAATTGTTTTTATATTTCACATTTAGCATTTATTTGCATCTTCATTTTTGTGTCCAAGGTCAACATTTGTCCAATAGATAGGAACCATCTTAAAAAGATAATTAGATTCACAGTTATCTATTGCTGGACAATAAATGGCCCATATCATGGAATACTTTTTTGCTTTTTTTAAATTAAGAGTTGGATGTAGTGTGTTAGGCTAAGCTGAAAAAAGCCTGTCATGAATTAACTGGTATTATGGTGTCACAGAAGGGGCCCTCCTACCCGACCCATCAGCCACGTAAACCATTAGCAGTTGCCACACAGTCACACCTAACACCCCAGTTCTCCCACTTCACTCCTCCCTCCTTTAAAACAGTCTGCTCCATTTGTTGGTCTAAAATTAAGTAGATCTAGACAGAACAGAATGAAGTATAAACAAACTTTTTGAATAAAATATTTTGTATAGAATGTTGAAGAAAAGTGATTATTTACATAATACAAAACGTAAGACAATACTATTTTTAGTTTTATCAGCTCCATCAGGACCATTCAAACTGGTTCCCCTGGAATTCCTTTTATACATTTTCAACTATAAAATACTATTTGTACTATGGCTTGACTGATGGTTGGTACACTGGTTGGAAAATAACCCTGCATTCTTCCAGTAGTTTTCTAATTGTATACAAAACTCTGTAAGATTACAGACAATATCTGCAAATTAACAGCCCAAATGTTATTTAAAGGATGCCAATAATGGCCAAAACTTATTTTACAGAAAAAAAAAATGTATTATGTATACATTATTTTTCTGCTTTTTTAAATTACATGCAAATTTCTGTAAAAAGACAATAATTATGTGTAATTACATATGTAGCACATTATACAAAGATTTATACCCATACTAACAATTGAATGTGTTTTCTTTGTACTTTTAAGGTAAATCTTATTAGCTTCATATTTTTGTATAATTTTATTTTCAAACTCCGTAATACTCTGGATACAAATTTACCAGATGTTTGCATTATGTTTGATGTAATGATAGTCTTTTTTAAGAGTACAAAGCTATACTGCTTTCAAGGTTGCAACTTCCAGGCATGTTCGTGGCTCTGGCCACACCCAGTCAGTGCTGTCACAGTGAGTTTAAGGACATATATGCCAATGAATCTGACAGAATTAAAAAGAGTAAAGGCAAAGTCATGAAAACAAGGCATTGCAATAGTCCAGGCAGGAAGTACAGGAAGCAAGAATGATGCGCTTTAAGCCCTTTAGAGCAGCAACATACTTGAAACTTTCAACCTAAAGAGAGTACTGAAGCAGAAACTTTTTGCCATATGTGATTTAATGTGTACTTATCAGTTCCTGATATAAGCACATTGCTGAAAAGTCAATGATCACTGCACAAGAAAAAGCTAAGAGTTGGTTACTATTAACAAATTCTAATATATCTTAAAATTAATTTCTATTCATTGTGTTACATTAAACTGGAACAGGCCTTTATCTGCTGTTCAGAAAATTGAAAATGACAATGCTATGATTTCCACATTCCGGAAATTGTGAGTAAAAATATTATTGATACTTTTGCTATTTTGCTTAAATGAAGTTAAGTCAAGTCAACTTTAATTTATATAGGGCTTTAAACACAACAAAGTTGATCCACGGTGCTTTGCAGAGAAAATGGTGAGCAGAGATGAGAAAAACACACATCCTTACACACTCAAACTGCCCACAATCCACTCACCACATTCAAAAACACACTTGTGTGGCATTTGACCTGCTTAAAGTGTTTATGTTATCTGATCAGAATGTGAATGTGTTATGTACATAGAAATCAGACGGTCATATCAATGCCTTGGGGAAGAGAGAATAATACAGTGAGGCAAGTCACACGGAGACACTGAAACTACAAAAAGGAGTAGGTAAAGAAAAAGGTTTGAGAGGACTGGAATGTATCCCAGCAAGCAAAGGGTGGAAAGCAGGGAAGCACACTCAAAAAAATAATTTGTTGGGTTTACTTAATCCAGTTACGTCAACAATTTCCACTAAACTGAGTTGTGTTAGATATAATTAAATCATATTATTAAACGTCAAATAACCAACTTAAGTAAAACCAACATGACTGTATTAGGAAAAACCAACATGACTACATTAAGTCAAACCAGCATGACTGTATTATGTAAAACCAACGTAACTAATATGGTTAGCTTGGTTTTAATTAATAGGTTTGTGTGTAGCCAACTAAACTGACCAACATAAACTCAACAAAATGCTTTTTCTTTTGTTTTACTTAATCGTGCTAATTAATGATGACAGAATGATATTTCATTATACCGACTTAACTCACTTATGTAAATGTAACAATGTTGGACCACCGATACTCAACTGTATTTAATAAGATTAACTATACTTCATCCTTCCAACCTAACTGGCTTAAATAACTGGGGCAACTACTGAATTTCATTTTACTTAGCTGTTTTTCATTTTAACAACAGTAGTAATTTTAAGTACACTTACTAAACCTGTCAAAAAAAATCCACACAGTAAATTGAAATCAATCACTTTATTCATGTGAAATAATTAATTTAACAATTTATTTCAAACCTGGTCAGCTGTATCAACAGAATGGGACTTGCCCAGACCAAAAACGTAAGCTTTCCAACAGAGGGCAGAATGTAAACGGTTGAAAATTAATATTTAAATAACTTTTGAAAAAAAGTTTAATTTCAGAAAACTGTAAATTCAGATCCCCACTAAGTTTTAGTTTGCAAAATACATTTTCACTGGAAATTTCAATTGAAAATCTAAAATCTCTTTTCAATGTCAATATCAAAATAGGGTAAACAGAAAACAATATTCAAATAAAGGTGAATCAATGTAATGTCACATAGGAAATATTTCAAAATAAAATAACTAAATAAAAATTCATTGTTTCCCTTGCCACTTTAGTAGTGTTAAAACCAAAACAAATAAAAAAAATTCATAAAGTGCATCACACTTAGCCAGAACATTATCAAAACAGTACATGTTTAAACCAAGATGTCATGCTAAAGAGATCACAAACAGTAATGCAAAATATGCATCTTAATTTGGTGCCAGTGGCTTTTGCTCCAAGCTCACTCAATATCGCCGTACGTCACAAAGTTTCTCTTACCCTCATATTCTTGCTACTTTTCCAATAAACCTCTTATTGCCCACTCACTCATTTACACCATTCTGTGATTTTTTTTTTTATATCCATTTTTTTTATGGACATAGATCTTAACAGTTAAGCTCATCCCGTCTCTCTTCTGTGAACATCAAGTCTGTTAAAACATTCAGACATCAAGCATTAGAAACAAAGAGCATGCCACATCTTAAAAGGAATAACCATGACAGTTTAACATATGGATCCAAAAATATTGTTTATTTTGATTGCCCTAGCTCCAAGCCTCCTTCCCTGCCACCTCAGAGCATTCAACTAAAAGGCTCCACACTCACTTGCAATTTCATGTCTACATTGTCCCTTCACTGTTTGTTTTTTAGCACTTGAGCCTTTCTACCATCCAGTTCCATCACAAGTTTTGTAGAACCTCAAATGTGTACTTAAGGTTGGTTGGGTAGCTCAAGTCCAATGCGTACACGAGGCCAAATAAAACAGCGACTGCATTTGCAACGTTACCAAGGTCGCAAAGCACTTCCACACCTTCGATGATTATTCCAACATCTTCCAACTCATCTGTAGGTTCTGCACCTTCCTTCTTTATGGCAAAGATTAAGCCAAAACATGCACAAGTCACAAAACAACCTGTTGTCAACAGAACATCCATAAATCATACCTTCGAATATTCCAGAAATCGCTGCTAATAATGTTATGATTTTAATATGCAAGTGTGGCAAGTATCTCTTCCCTCAGCTGAAGCAAGCATGGCAATTTTCTATATTTTTCTTATTGTCAACAAATATGTTTGGAGTCAAACCAACAATTAACTAATCTACTAACAAGCATTGTGTGTGTGTGTAAGCTTGGTATATCTTATTTTTCTGTGCCATAGACCACCACTGGTGCCCAAAAGCTATCAAAAACAAGCCAATGAGTCACACCACTGCACTGCGTGACGTTCCTTTATTGTGAGTTTATTCATATTAGTTTGTTTATAAACAGCCAAAAAGCACAAACAGAAAAAGTAATTCTGTGGAAAAAGCAGAGGCCAAAATACTTAAAAGATACTCCCTTATGAGGTTTTCAGGGTCTTCGTTGAAGTAAACAATCATTGCCTTCAGTATGCAAGCTCTTTTTGTTTCAATGGCGTCATTCTGCAGCAAAGAACAAGGGAAATGTATAAGTGGTTATAATATTGTATTGTACAGCATTTAACACCAGAGATGCATCACCACACAAGCAAACTGTTCAGGCTCCTAATTTTTTATGATGCAACTTGCTTCATGTCATGCCAATTTACAGGCAGTGTTTGGCCACATATTATTGTGGCATGATTTGGGACACACATTCTAATAACACAAGCACCTGTAAGTGTTTCATAATTACTTGTGGTAACTAGTTATAATTAGCAAATAATTATATATTGCAAGTTACAGTACATTAAACAACGTATTGTAGAAAGGTACTTATTAAATTAATAAAAGATACAGTATATTAAGTAGTGTTCATGGAAACTTGAAACAGAATGAATAAAGTGCCCATCAGAATCAGGACACAGTCATCGAGGGCCTGTTTACACCTGGCATTAACATGCGTTTTTGGCTTGTCCACATGAAAAGCAAGGTGTAAACACCAAGATGCATTGTGAACAGTTTACGATCGGATCACTCAAACCACATTTGGACGTGGTCCGAGACAGATCTCGTCAACATTTAATACACGTATAAACAGAATTCGTCTTCTGCGCTTACCAGTAGATGAGAGCAGTAATTTTTTTCCCTTGTGGTTTAAACAGATCGTCATATTTTCTGATTCAGCCATTACTGGAATATTAGGACCTTCTACTGTTCCACCGCATTGGAGAACCCACACTATTATTCTAAACTGCTCACAGGCTCAAT